GTGCATCCGCTTTTCTGCATCATTTAGTTTGACAAATCTATCCTCTGGGTCTAAGGTGCCTGTTTCATGACCAACTAGGCAGAACGTCTGGAGCGGTGATAAGCCTCCTTCTCGTGTGACGGACTTGAGCATGTGGCGTGGGTAACTCTGCGATGTCTCAAGTCACCCGCCCGGTGTACTGGCCAAGGTTGTCCAACTTTATAGCTGATGGAGCAAGTGGAGTGAATGTCAATGTCAACGTTATAGCTGATGGAGCAAGTGTTACTGTTAACATACGGTAACCAGGGCAGCCATTACCGTTATCACCTTACCCTGGAGTATGGACGGGCGGTGCGGTAGCCTAGTGGTTAAAGAGTCCGCTTGTCACGCTGAAGACCCGGGTTCGATTCCCCACATGGGTACAATGTGTGAAGCCCACTTCTAGTGTCCCCCGCCGTGATATTGCGGGAATATTGCTAACAGCGGCGTAAAACCATACTCACTCGCTCTTCCTGAACAATCACTTAAGAAACTGACAGGTGTTTATATATCTCTTTTCTCTAAATTAATTCAGGAGTGATCGATCTCATTAAATTTTTGGGGTACCATGGAACCGTTGAAGAGGATCGGGGACTGGTTTGTCTAGAGATGATTTTAGAGCTGATTGTATACGCCAGGCAGCAGGAATATTGCTGGTTTGTCTAGAGCTGATTGTATACGCCATGCAGCAGGAATATTGCTGGTTTGTCTAGAGCTGATTGTATACGCCATGCAGCAGGAATATTGCTGGTTTGTCTAGAGCTGATTGTATACGCCATGCAGCAGGAATATTGCTGGTTTGTCTAGAGCTGATTGTATACGCCATGCAGCAGGAATATTGCTGGTTTGTCTAGAGCTGATTGTATACGCCATGCAGCAGGAATATTGCTGGTTTGTCTAGAGCTGATTGTATACGCCATGCAGCAGGAATATTGCTGGTTTGTCTAGAGCTGATTGTATACGCCATGCAGCAGGAATATTGCTGGTTTGTCTAGAGCTGATTGTATACGCCATGCAGCAGGATATTATTGCTGGTTTGTCTAGAGCTGATTGTATACGCCATGCAGCAGGAATATTGCTGGTTTGTCTAGAGCTGATTGTATACGCCATGCAGCAGGAATATTGCTGGTTTGTCTACAGCTGATTGTATACGCCATGCAGCAGGAATATTGCTGGTTTGTCTAGAGCTGATTGTATACGCCATGCAGCAGGAATATTGCTGGTTTGTCTAGAGCTGATTGTATACGCCATGCAGCAGGAATATTGCTGGTTTGTCTAGAGCTGATTGTATACGCCATGCAGCAGGAATATTGCTGGTTTGTCTAGAGCTGATTGTATACGCCATGCAGCAGGAATATTGCTGGTTTGTCTAGAGCTGATTGTATACGCCATGCAGCAGGAATATTGCTGGTTTGTCTAGAGCTGATTGTATACGCCATGCAGCAGGAATATTGCTGGTTTGTCTAGAGCTGATTGTATACGCCATGCAGCAGGAATATTGCTGGTTTGTCTAGAGCTGATTGTATACGCCAGGCAGCAGGAATATTGCTGGTTTGTCTAGAGCTGATTGTATACGCCATGCAGCAGGAATATTGCTGGTTTGTCTAGAGCTGATTGTATACGCCATGCAGCAGGAATATTGCTGGTCTGTCTAAAGCTGATTGTATACGCCATGCAGCAGGAATATTGCTGGTTTGTCTACAGCTGATTGTATACGCCATGCAGCAGGAATATTGCTGGTTTGTCTAAAGCTGATTGTATACGTCATGCAGCAGGAATATTGCTGGTTTGTCTAGAGCTGATTGTATACGTCATGCAGCAGGAATATTGCTGGTTTGTCTAGAGCTGATTGTATACGCCATGCAGCAGGAATATTGCTGGTTTGTCTAGAGCTGATTGTATACGCCATGCAGCTGGTATATTGCTGGTTTGTCTAGAGCTGATTGTATACGCCATGCAGCTGGAATATTGCTGGTTTGTCTACAGCTGATTGTATACGCCATGCAGCAGGAACATTGCTGGTTTGTCTACAGCTGATTGCATACGCCATGCAGCAGGAATATTGCTGGTTTGTCTAGAGCTGATTGTATACGCCATGCAGCAGGAATATTGCTGGTTTGTCTAGAGCTGATTGTATACGCCATGCAGCAGGAATATTGCTGGTTTGTCTAGAGCTGATTGTATACGCCATGCAGCTGGAATATTGCTGGTTTGTCTAGAGCTGATTGTATACGCCATGCAGCAGGAATATTGCTGGTTTGTCTAGAGCTGATTGTATACGCCATGCAGCTGGAATATTGCTGGTTTGTCTAGAGCTGATTGTATACGCCATGCAGCAGGAATATTGCTGGTTTGTCTAGAGCTGATTGTATACGCCATGCAGCTGGAATATTGCTGGTTTGTCTAGAGCTGATTGTATACGCCATGCAGCAGGAATATTGCTGGTTTGTCTAGAGCTGATTGTATACGCCATGCAGCAGGAATATTGCTGGTTTGTCTAGAGCTGATTGTATACGCCATGCAACAGGAATATTGCTGGTTTGTCTAGAGCTGATTGTATACGCCATGCAGCTGGAATATTGCTGGTTGTGACGTCAAACAATACTCACTACCATACCTTCTGCAAGAATATGTCGTCATATACATTTGTATATTCATGCCAATCGATATCGGTATTTATTGGTGTTTATCTTTTGAGAACTTGCAATGTATAAACTGACTCGCGTACTGCCTGAATTCTGACTGACCAACATTCAACGCTCTGTACTTCTGTTTAACCTCATGACTAACCTCACGACGTACATTTTGTATAATAACTTTGGGAAGTGAAGATATGAACGGAGAGAAAAGTTTTTACTTACGATAATAGCAATGTGCAACTATTATATATTTTAATGTCGTCAGATCAGTTAGTTTTATGATCTGTTGTAAACAACATGTTTAGAAGACAACAGTTTAACTATTTATTATATCTTATTGTAAACCGAAATGTATACATAACGTTACTAAAGAGATCATAGTGCCTCATCAGCGTTATTGGCTGGGGGAATGAATATCTCCTTGCTTTGTTGTGTATTATAATTCATGTAGTCGTTCACGTGACACTTTTAGTGAACTATATCTGTCTGTCTGCCCGTCTGTCTCTATGTTTATTATTTTTACTGTGGGACTCCAACAGAAGAATATCGGGACTGTCCATCTATTGTCGAACACAAGCTGCAGGATAGCGGAACTATCCATCTGTTGTCGAACACAAGCTGCAGGATAGCGGGACTATCCATCTGTTGTCGGACACAAGCCGCAGGATAGCGGGACTATCCATCTATTGTCGAACACAAGCTGCAGGATAGCGGGACTGTCCATCTATTGTCTGACACAAGCTGCAGGATAGCGGGACTATCCATCTGTTGTCGGACACAACGAAGCTGCAGGATAGCGGGACTATCCATCTGTTGTCGGACACAAACTGCAGGACAGCGCGACCACGCGGTTTACTCCCAAAAGTTAGACGTCCCAAAAGTCAGACGTCCCAGTTGTCAGACAAATCAATCAGGCGTGACTGTGATTACAACCTAGTCTTACCCACTGATATAATGAACTTGTCCCATACACTAACGAGATGGTTTTCACGTTTGTACAGAAATACTGATCAGAATGTTGACTGGCTTACTCAATCACTGGGTTCTCCAAATGTGTTCTCACAATGTTCAAACACCAAATGTAGGGTTAGGGTTAGGGTTAGGGTTAGGGTTAGGGTATATCACTTGCCATATCCAATAATGCTAACTCTTCTGATCTCAAGCACATTCTAACAAACCCCAAATTAATTAAACCACTCACTAAATATCTTATTCATACAAAATTATACCAAACAATCTAGCAACAAAAACAATAATACAATAATTCCACTTTTTACCATTCTGTATATTGTTCTATAAAATGTATAATTCTCTGTTCTTTTAACTTTTCAAATTCTCTCTTTTTATCAGCTTCATTTTTTAACCTTTTATATGTTCATCATTATTCACTTAATACTGTGGAACTACATCCAACGCCAGTGGCATTTAGAAGCTGGTATGACGAAGAAGATCACATTTTGGACTGACGTCCTGTTCATTGCGTTAGATACGACGTTTCGGTGTAGCTGCCAACGGCGTTATCAAGCACTATTTGTGTTTGTTTATAAGTGTATATTTCAGTTCAGTGGCAGAAGTAGCCTACACTGCGTGAAGTCATAAGTGAGTATATTTGTCATCACTGTAGTCATGGTAACAGTATACATGGGTGTTATGTTGTTATATACATGCATGCCTTGCCAGCTGACGACAGTGGGGTCGGTCATACTTCCTTTTTGTCTTTATCACATCACTTTCCACTTTGTCAGCTCATGTTATAGCTGTTGTTGCTATTTTAAGCAATTAGTCACCATAAAAATGCCAATGTCAGCTATTTACTATTCAAACGTTTTCAATCAAACTGGAAAACCCTGAAACTGGGTTCCGTTATTATTCGCTGGGAAAGAGTGACAGGTGGAGAGCAGTGTCTAGTTTCATACATGCCTTTGGTGAGACAACAAATATGTATGTCTAAATGAAAATAAGGAAAGATTTTCGCCCGTAACCCCCATACTATTTGTAATAATCATATGCCTAAGAATATACGCCTATGAGGAGGTTTTTTTATAAACAGCCTATACCTAACCCTAAACCCTAAGCCTAAACCTAACCCTAGAATCTAACCCCAAACCTAACCCTAGACCCTCGAAATAATCCTAATAATTAGAATACATTTCAAACGGGGGTTACGGGCGAACTCTTTACCGAAAAGAATAATTAATATATTTATCAACAATACCTATGTGCATAGAAACAACATCCACAGCTGACACACAAACCGCAGTGTCACCCTCGAGCTGAAATTCTTCCGCGCAGTGACCTATTTTTCCATCAGCCAATGATAAGTCCGCGGCGCGTGCGCGGTGACGAGGCGGACTACACGAGGCACGCGATCACGGAGCGAGCTGTAGCAGTTTATGAAAAACATGGGCAACCCGCGGCAGCTCGACGTGGCTCTCATCCGAGCAATTATGGACCATCCAGTCTTCTACGATAAAAACTCCTGGGGCTATAACGATATCGAAGCCAAGGAAAAACTATGGACGGAGATCGCGGCCAGTCTGAACTTGGAAGGTGAGACGCGACCTAGGTCACAGTGACACAGGCGCCCAAACAACATACTGGTAGTTTGATTGGGTCAGTAGTAAGATTGCTATGTCCCGCGTGCTGTCAAACACATCACAGCAGCGGGTCATAAATAGTGTGCACGTAAATCAAGATTATGTTTAAACCAAGTTGATAAGCCTACTCCTGAGTGTGATCGCTGGGCGAGCGGACAGTGCTTGTATTACGAAGCCACGTTGAACTCCGTAGAAGACAGATACATACAGTCCTGCCTTTTTGTGAGCTCAGCTGCATTTTACATCAAAGCACAAAAGTAAATGCGGAAATGTCACATGTCTCAAAAAATACCGTGAATTTCACAGGGCTATGAAAAGACTTAGCAACGCCTATCGATCAGAAGTGTGAAAGGAGCAGGTCACTCATGGTTACAATGTACACCGCCGAGCGGGGATTGCGAGAACGGGAGTCACGTGACCTGTGTTTGCGTGTCCTCAGCGGGGAATCCCCTCCAGCCGGGTCGTATGCTGACATGTGCAGCGAGTTATCCGTTGGTTGAGATACTGAACTTCATTGTTTTGTAGAATAAATTGTGTATAGTTTGATTCCTTGACTGGTGGCTGTATACTTTTAAGCCGTTTACATGTATTCTAATTACCGACAGAGGCCATTTAATAATTAGATCTTCTTATGTGGTCTCTGATACCAGTCATTATCGTGTAAATGGAGACCATATACCGGCCTGTGGTCTCTGGTGTAAACCTGTATTCAAATACATAGAGACCATATACCGAAATACCTATTCTGATTTGCATTTATGAGAAATATTCACCGTGAACAGGCGCGTAGCAAGCCATTTTCTTCGTGTAAGCCCGATAGGTTGCAAAGCTTTATTTAGATAGTTTTTAGGGTTTGTACAACTTTCATATATAATGGTAGCTACGCCCCTGGTGAACTTATTGTTTCTTCACAAATACCTATCCGGCCTAAAATACGACCTTCTCCAAATCCTGCCACTGTACAACTCGTGTTGCTGCCCTGTCCGGTGGGGGTCATTTCTATTTGATCATTTCTCCTTGGAGATTCCGAGCTATGTATAATCTTCAGCGACTAGCCTGATAGCGGTTCATGTATGTCCAACGGAGAGCGGAAGGTCGCGGGTTCGATCCCTGACCGCGTCATACCAAAAGACGTTAAAATATGGTACTTGTTGGTCCCTGCCTGGCGATCGGCATTAATGGGTAGGACTGGTCGGCTCGGAGTCAGTATAATGTGTCTGAGTGGGGTATTCATGCTTCATTGCGGCTTGGTATCTCAGTGGGCTAGCACTATAGAACCAGCTTCAGTCTGAGCTAGTACAAGCATCCGCACCTACACATACACACGCATGCACGTCGTCATATGAGCGAAATATTCTCAAGCGCGACGTTATACCCAATTTCACCTCACCTCACCTCATGTATGTCCAATAAGGAGGACATCGATCGTCGTTCAAACGTTACAACCACTGTTTAGTAGAGTCAAATATTTAAAGGCCGTCTTCCATAACAGTAGTTGGAATAGTGATGTGCCAACGAACTAAAAAACAAACAAATGTAGTCATGTTTATGTTGTAGTCGATGCCTGTCGAGCGCGCTGGAAGAATCTTCGAGACACCTTCGTGAAGAGTCGTCGGAAGAAACCCCAGTTTAGGAGAGTTGGCACCAAGTTCGTGCGGCAGACCCGCGTCAACAGATGGCGCTACACTGACGAAATGGCGTTTCTCGTCCCCTACCTCAACCTCCGAGAACCAGAGTGAGTAGACCTGTGTCAGTGAGTTGAATGGGTGTGTTGTCTCAAAGTATAGCACTGCCTGTCAGCGAAATGAGTAGTATGTAGAAAAACGGTTCCTGAAAACTAATGATCATATATAGGAGATTCGAACCCGCTACCGGCGGATCCACATACGTCCATGGGACGCAACTGTCCACATACATTTGCGATGTTGTTAAAGTCTCGTCACGCCGAAAACTCGGGTTCGATTCCCTACATCGGTACAATGTGTACATCGCCCGCAGACATGTACGATCCGTGTATCGAGTTCCCTCTCGGGAGCTGTTCCAGAAATTAACGTTATATTCGCCCGCAGACTTATTAAGAAGGCATTTCAGAGTGTTTTCGGTTTAAGGAGTATTGGCATGGTGCGTATCGTGATTGATGCCAGTAAAATATATTTAAGAGTTGGTTGGATATATAAGATTTGTTTTTCTCAGCCACAAGGCATAGAAAGCTACTCATTGACATGGAGTTGCCAGTCACGGGCCTGGAATTTGATCTCACGCATAGAATTGATACTTGTCAGTTATCTCAAATTGCAACTATCTGATTGAGTAGGAGGCAGGCTCCTGTACGGATCTGTGTAGGAGATGTGTCTGGACGGATCTGTGTAGGAGATATGTCTGGACGGATCTGTGTAGGAGATGTGTCTGGACGGATCTGTGTAGGAGATGTGTCTGGAAGGATCTGTGTAGGAGATGTGTCTGGACGGATCTGTGTAGGAGAGACGGATGTGTCTGGACGGATCTGTGTAAAGAGGATGTCTGGACGGATCTGTGTAAGAGATGTGTCTGGACGGAGAGATGTGTCTGTGTAGAGGATGTGTCTGGACGGACTGTGTAGGAGATCTGTGTAAGAGATGTGTCTGGACGGATCTGTGTAGGAGATGTGTCTGGACGGATCTGAGAGATGCCCCAGGAGATGTGTCTGGACGGATCTGTGTAGGGATGTGTCTGGACGGATCTGTGTAGGAGATGATGTCTGGACGGATCTGTGTAGGAGAGAGAGATGTGTCTGGACGGATCTGTGTAGGAGATGTCTGGACGGATCTGTGTAGGAGATGGACGGATCTGTGTAGGAGATGTGTCTGGACGGATCTGTGTAGGAGATGTGTCTGGACGGATCTGTGTAGGAGATGTGTCTGGACGGATCTGTGTAGGAGATGTGTCTGGACGGATCTGTGTAGGAGATGTGTCTGGACGGATCTGTGTAGGAGATGTGTCTGGACGGATCTGTGTAGGAGATGTGTCTGGACGGATCTGTGTAGGAGATGTGTCTGGACGGATCTGTGTAGGAGATGTGTCTGGACGGATCTGTGTAGGAGATGTGTCTGGACGGATCTGTGTAGGAGATATGTCTGGACGGATCTGTGTAGGAGATGTGTCTGGACGGATCTGTGTAGGGGATGTGTCTGGACGGATCTGTGTAGGGGATGTGTCTGGACGGATCTGTGTAAGAGATGTCTGGACGGAGGAGATGTGTCTGGACGGATCTGTGTAGGAGATGTGTCTGGACGGATCTGTGTAGGAGATGTGTCTGGACGGATCTGTGTAGGAGATGTCTGGACGGATCTAGGGATGTCTGGACGGATCTGTGTAAGAGATGTGTCTGGACGGATCTGTGTAGGAGATGTGTCTGGTATTTTATAATGATTTTCTGCTCAGGAAAGCTGACAGCACTATAACCGACGACACAGAGTTCGAAATAACCACCAACGACATCAAGGAAGACCTAGACCAGGAGGGTCTGGCGCAGGAGGAGGAAGGGGAGACAACCCGTCAGAGTCGGAAAAGAAGCAGAGCAAGTAATCAGACCAATATCCGACCATCGTGTTCCTCCCAGGACCCGGATGAAGCCACGGAAGAGAGGCCGACAAAGGTGTACCACCAGCCGATGTTGGCAGCTCCTCAGGAGATGGACGACATTGAGTCATTCTTCTACAGCATGGGCCAAAGCGTCCGAAATCTGCCAAAACATTTACACAGTCGCGTGAAGCTGAGAGTGTGTCAGGTCGTGACGGAGGCGGAGGTAGAGTTCCACACCCCAACTGTTACAGTGTACAGTGGCGAGGAGACGCTTGATGTGAAACCTGTCATAGATCTGTATCAGACCTCGTGATCACACATGTTATGTATCTATACGTAGTACCCGGATTTAATGATCCAGAATCATATACGGTGGTATCAGGTCGATGGAGTCAAGACCTGTGTATTTTGGGGACATAGGGTGGTCCATAGGAGAATGTGAGCTGTGGATAGACAATGCGGTATAACATTCCAGATGTGAAACCTGTCATAGATCTGTATCAGACCTGGTGATCACACATGTTATGTATCTATACGTAGTACCCGGATTTAATGATCCAGAATCATATAGGGTGGTATCAGGTCGATGGAGTCAAGACCTGTGTATTTTGGGGACATATGGTGGTCCATAGGAGAATGTGAGCTGTGGATAGACAATGCGGTATAACATTCCAGAGGGCGTCTCGCAAAGTGAGCATAGTGCAACGACTGCACAATTATTTAATATCGATAAACGACGGTCGAAGCACCATAGGATATCTTGGTGAAACGGCCGTCTTTCACGATGATGGAATACCATGCCAAACGCACAGGATGGCGGAGTCTTGAGACAAAGCATTCTTCTGGCATTGACAATCTACCACAGTTCATTACAGGAACACAAATAGTAATGCAGTCATTCACCTCTTTGAAAAGGTGTGCCTCACCGACATGCAGCGCTCTCAGTACCACTTGCACACCATTGGACAGTCTGTGTACTGGATTTGATATTTTTATAACTTATGTTTCCATTTTGTTTCACGCACTTAGCCACCAGGGTCGTTGCTATTGTAACAACCTTGGCGACAATGACATGCTGTGTTTACAAATATACATATATACATGGTTCAAAAGAGTCCAGACGTCCAGTTTCTTGCCAAAATGTTCCAGCCAGGGCACCGTCCATGGACAATTGTATAGGAATTGTTTATTTGAAATGTGTGGGTAGTCTGTATGAAGCGAATGTTGCGTGTTTGTAGATATGTACGGAACTGATTTAAATAAATAATATATATCTGTAGCAGAGTGTTAGTACTGATACACCTTCATATTTTCAAGCCGAACCTATACGATTTAGGCTATTATTTTCTGTTGTTGTGTTGTTTGTATAGGTTTGTTGTTGGGTGGGGGTGGAGAGGCTAAACATTGCAGTCTTTGACGGGTTCTACGATCGGGTTTGCTCGGATGTTCCGCAGCTTTATACAAGACTATGTTTACTTAATTATTCACACATATAACACTACACAAAACAGTGATGTACCAACGCCTGTACACATTGCCGTAGGTTCCAGCATCTCCTCGAATACGACGTTGTTGACGTATCTGCATCGTTTCGGAAAGTCCTGACCCGAGGCTGTAGTGGGGGGAGGGGGTGGGGGGATATACCGGGGATTCCGACTATCTCCGCTCCTGTGACGTCAATGACAACATGACTACATAGCATACAAGTAACGTAACTACAAATCAACATACCCTGAAGATTTGTGTTAGAATTGGTCTTCAGCAACCTATGTGTGTCGTAAGAGGCGAATAACGGGATCGGGTGGTCAGGTTCACTGACTTGGCTGACACATGTCATCGTAGCCCAATAACGTAGATCGATGCTCATGCTGTTGATCACTGGATTGTCTGGTCGACTATTTACAGAAAGACGTCATATAGCTGGAATATTACTGAGTGCTGCGTTAAACAACAAACAAAGAAAACAAATCAAACATGTTTATTTCTTAACTAACTACAGATCACACCTTCAAGAAGGACTAGCTTCACCGGTGCCCATGTCACAATGTAGTAAGAGATGTAACAAGTTCTGCCTTACCAACGAACATGGGAACCACTTGCAAGCAGCATTATATAATAATTATATCAACATTAAGATAATGCGAGATTGGTGCCGTATAAATGGATTTGCTGTATAGATTCTATTTAAAGGGGATGTATGTGTAAAAAAATGAAAAAGGTTGTACGTGTCGCATTGTTTGCACATTAATGTATAAAATATGCTTCTTTGAAGACGCGAAACAGCTACGTCGAAACAGCCAGGCAGCTGTTGAGCAGCTACGTGTATTTACCCGCTGAACTTGCGCTGTGAGTTTATATATGATGTTTCAAGCGATCTATCGATTACATTCTTATGATTAGTTAAAAATATAACTTAAATTACCTCTATATCAGCATGTTTATAAACAGTTCGTGAAAACTGTACACGACACACAGATACATAGATAGTTACATGGTTACATAGATACACCATCATTAGGTAATACGTTACATAGATACACCATCATCAGGTAATAAGTTATTTTATGACAGTGCATCTACATATTCATAATATCACGAAACCACGCTCTGTTGACGTAAACCGTTTGGAACATCTATTTACACAAATATTACTTTACTAAGAGTATCCTTTACTTTGGGACCTGCTTATCCGGACAGTTTTACTGATGAATGACCATTCACGATAAACAACGTTCCTCTGTTCAAACAAGCAGGTCTGTGAGAACAGGGCTGTAACCATTTACAGTGAAACCCCGTTAATCCGGACGGTATTGTACCCCAGTGATATTGTCCGAATTAACGAGTGTCAATAAGCGCAATAATGTACGGTATATTGAATATTAATTAACACTGGAAACCTTAATCATATGTATTGCGGGTCATACAGAAAAACGCTGTTTCACTGCGCATACTAAGACTAAAGATTCACAGATTTAGCCAAATATGCAGTCTCAGAACACCGACTGCAACTTTGTCATAGAAACAAGAATCGCCTTTTATGTAATTACTATTCTATGGTAATGAGAGTGTAAAAGAAAGGGAAAAGTACAGCCTGCATATGTTTTACGAAACAGGATAACATGACAAGGAGGAAATGCACACAGGTCGCCCAATGAGGGGTCCAAAATAATTACCTTGCCCTGGACAGTTATACTGTCAGAGACACAAAGAGAACAGACGCCATCGGTTCGTGGCCAGCGTCGTGAGGCTGGGAGGAGCTGTGAGACAGCTCACAGTATCCAACTGGGGAGACGTTATTCCTCACGCTGGTGCGTTTCAAATAGAAAGAGAAAACTGGTTCACTAATGTTCGTTTTGATTTAGTTTGGTATCTCATCTTAAGTTGCCAATTGTTCGATAAAATTCATTTTGTGTACACTTCTCATGTTAGAAGACGCCGATATTGACAAATATTTTGATTCTTGAATAAAAGTCAATAATTGCAAACCAACTGAAAATAGACCAGTCGTGTTTAATCGATCTATTTTCAGTAACACATGACTTATTCATACCCAGAGCGAGAACAGACGAAAACAGGCTATCACAGAACGTCCGACAGTGAGTCCAGTTTAATATAGATCCAAGGTATGGCCTGTATAGTCAAACCTGTCCCTACACAATCCAACACTTGCTTCGTACCTGTGTCTGTTCTTATTGCGGGTTTTGTTCTACAAAATGTCTGCATCAAACAGGTTAGGAAGCGTAAAGAACTGAATCTTTAAATAGTCCACAATACACTTATGACACACTCTCCAGAGCACGTGTGCACGTGCAATGTCGTCGCAAACCCCGCCAATCACACAGTGTCGCTCAGTGAGATCGTCACGTGACATTATTTTGACAAAAGAACACAATGTCAAGGTCAGTTGATGTCTTCGATCACAACTTCCGGTCGTTTCCCTGACAAGTCCCACGGCGCGTCCCTGAACTCTGCCCGGTCTATTCGCTCATCACCTGGAACAAACATGTATAGGTTGACACTGGACCAATGTCGGTGTTGTACTGACGTAGATAAATGAAATAAAAATGAGCGAGTAGTGTGTTCGCCAAATTTAGCAATAGTGACTGAGTGAGTTGGGTTTTACGCCGCTTTTAGCAATACTCCAGCAATATCACGGAGGGGACACCAAGAATGGGCTTCACACATTGTGCCCATGTGGGGAATCGAACCCGGGCCTTCGGCGTAACGAGCGAACGCTGTAACCACTAGGCTACCCCACCGCCCCATTTAGCAATAGTCTTGCTATACCATCCTGGCTGGTTGGCTACCGACGTTAAGTGGTTGTGAATCTATGCACAGCGAGTTCCAGGAGGAGGTACATGAAGACAAGGACTCCCAGTAGATTAATCTTTGGGTCGTGTGTGTAAACACCGACCACAGGATATTCGGGACGGGAAGAGGAGGATATTAAATTTGAAATCGGTTCCTAAATACGTTCAATTTATATTTGACTGGAATCTTGTGTGTTGTAGGTGAAAGGATTGTTAGGCTCCTGCATTCAGAGGAGAACAGTTATATTACATAAAGCCATATCGTCAGATATTATTCGACTGGAACAATATCCTGGACCCTCAAAGACGTTCCCCCTAAGGTATCTACAGGGAAACTATTTTATGTCCTTCACTGTGCCTCAATACGTTCTCGGGAGGAACGTACTCAGCGTTATGATGCGATCGTTTTCATGACATACGTCGCAGCATGATCGTGTGTTTGAACTTCAGAATCACCATGAGTATCGACTTTAGGCCAGGACACCGATCTTTGGTACCCCAACTGGTGTTATCTCCTAAGACATCGGACTTTCCGTCACCATTAGCTGACATTTGCAGCATCCCCCGTACTACAACAAGTATGCGTTGTGGTGATCGATTCTGATCCATGGTTTGTCGGTATTCCTGTTCTAATACCGAAATACTCCATGCTTATAGGAGCAGAATAAAGTGAGAATTGCTACGTTACAATTGATGGCCTGGCAGACAGCGTGCCATCCTCCCTGCACGGCGGGAGGCGCTACTGCTTAATAACTACTTTTATAAACAAATAGATCTTGCTCTAACCTGCAGTAGGAGATAGGGCAGTGTCACCACTTGGTCGTTACTGTAGACAAACAGTGAATAGTGAACGTTGTCGGGTTACTGTTGTAACGCGTTGTCTGTCCTTACGATCACATTGCAACATGCCGTCACGATCGCACGCACGCATTCACGCATGCTCGCACGCACATACACACTTATACATGAACTCACGCACTCTGTCTGCAGTTCAAGAACCTGCCAGTGTACCCAGGTATTCTGTACTCGTAAACCTCTAATTAACCGCGCATGTTATGCTATATACATATTTGAACATCACGCTAGAGGTGTTTGTAAGTCATGCCTTTAAAAACATGTCATCAACGTGTTTATGCACATTTCATGCATGACGTAAATTCCCCGTGTGTTAACCTCACAGCGTCCCAGCACAAGACCTATCACTTTACAAGGAAAATACATAAACAGAAGCACAAAGTGTTTATGTATGTGTAAACGCAGCTCACGTTGAAAGAATTGATTGATGTTTTCCACAAGAAATGTGATTTGTTTAAGGCAAATGTGTGAATCGCTTAAGCGAATGGATTTCAAATTACACAGATTGTTAGCAGTTGGTAAACATTATCTATTACACAACATTTCACCTCTGATGGGGAAGTAATAATCTCTTTGATCGTTACAGGAGGTACGCCTGCCATCAGGTTTTGAGTTGCTGGGCAGTTTTTGAAGCAGGTTTCTTACAAGGTGGCATTTCAAATGAATCATGTCATTCCCGCTGATCCCTGATGTCATCAACAGCAAAATAGGCGCACAAAACAACAATTATTTATTTGATGTCAAAACGCTTGGAGTCAGATCGGTTTTAAAGAGCATTGCTTTCTTAGGTCTTGTGACTGCAGCACATACATGATCATCCCTTTCATTCTCCCATTGTTGACATTTTGTCTTATTGTGAAAGATTAGATTGTTTGTTAACCTGACTTGAAGTCAGTGGTTGAGTATATATGGTCAGTGGTTGAGTGTACTAACATGAACAATAGTCAATGGTTGAGTGTACTGACACGAAAAATAGTCAATGGTTGAGTGTACTGACATGAACAATTGTCAGAGGCTGAGTGTACTGACATCAACAATAGTCAATGGTTGAGTGTACTAACATGAACAATAGTCAATATTTGAGTGTACTGACATGACCAATAGTCAATGGTTGAGTGTACTGACATGAACAATAGTCAATGGTTGAGTGTACTAACATGAACAATAGTCAGAGGTTGAGTGTACTGACATGTCCAATAGTCAATGGTTGTGTGTACTGACATGAACAATAGTCAATGGTTGTGTGTACTGACAAGAACAATAGTCAGAGGTTGAGTGTACTGACATGAACAATAGTCAGAGGTTGAGTGTACTGACATGAACATTAGTCAATGGTTGTGTGTACTGACATGAACAATAGTCAGTGGTTGAGTGTACTGACATGAACAATAGTCAATGGTTGTGTGTACTGACATGAACAATAGTCAATGGTTGAGTGTACTGACATGAACAATAGTCAATGGTTGAGTGTACTGACATGAACAATAGTCAGAGGTTGAGTGTACTGACATGAACAATAGTCAATGGTTGAGTGTACTAACATGAACAATAGTCAGAGGTTGAGTGTACTGACATGTCCAATAGTCAGAGGTTGAGTGTACTGACATGTCCAATAGTCAATGGTTGAGTGTACTGACATGAACAATAGTCAATGGTTGTGTGTACTGACAAGAACAATAGTCAGAGGTTGAGTGTACTGACATGAACAATAGTCAGAGGTTGAGTGTACTGACATGAACAATAGTCAATGGTTGAGTGTACTGACATGAACAATAGTCAGAGGTTGAGTGTACTGACATGAACAATAGTCAGAGGTTGTGTGTACTGACAAGAACAATAGTCAGTGGTTCAGTGTACTGACATGAACAATAGTCAATGGTTGAGTGTACTGACATGAACAATAGTCAGAGGTTGAGTGTACTGACATGAACAATAGTCAGAGGTTGTGTGTACTGACAAGAACAATAGTCAGTGGTTGAGTGTACTGACATGAACAATAGTCAGAGGTTGAGTGTACTGACATCAACAATAGTCAATGGTTGAGTGTACTGACATGAACAATAGTCAATGGTTGAGTGTACTGACAAGAACAATAGTCAGAGGTTGAGTGTACTGACATGAACAATAGTCAGAGGTTGAGTGTACTGACATGAACAATAGTCAATGGTTGAGTGTACTGACATGAACAATAGTCAGTGGTTGAGTGTACTGACATGTCCAATAGTCAATGGTTGAGTGTACTGACATGAACAATAGTCAATGGTTGAGTGTACTGACATGAACAATAGTCAATGGTTGAGTGTACTGACACGAAAACTAGTCAATGGTTGAGTGTACTAACATGAACAATAGTCAATGGTTGAGTGTACTGACACGAAAAATAGTCAGAGGTTGAGAGTACGAACATGAACAATAGTCAGTGGTTGAGTGTACTGACACGAAAAATAGTCAATGGTTGAGTGTACTGACATGAACAATAGTCAATGGTTGAGTGTACTGACATGAAAAATAGTAAATGGTTCAGTGTACTGACAAGAACAATAGTCAGAGGTTGAGTGTACTGACACGAAAAATAGTCAATGGTTGAGTGTACTGACATGTCCAATAGTCAGTGGTTGAGTGTACTGACACGAAAAATAGTCAATGGTTGAGTGTACTAACATGAACAACAGTCAATGGTTGAGTGTACTGACACGAACAATAGTCAATGGTTGAGTGTACTGGCATGAACAATAGTCAAAGGTTGAGTGTACTGACACGAAAAATAGTCAATGGTTGAGTGTACTGACATGAACAATAGTCAATGGTTGAGTGTACTGACATCTCCAATAGTCAATGGTTAAGTGTACTAACATGAACAATAGTCAATGGTTGAGTGTACTGACATGTCCAATAGTTAGTGGTTGAGTGTACTAACATGAACAATAGTCAGAGGTTGAGTGTACTGACACGAAAAATAGTCAATGGTTGAGTGTACTGGCATGAACAATAGTAAAGGGTTTAGTGTACTTGCATGAACAATAGTCAGTGGTTGAGTGTTACTGACATGAACAATAGTCAATGGTTGAGTGTACTGGCATGAACAATAGTCATTGGTTGAGTGTACTGACATGTCCAATAGTCAGTGGTTGAGTGTACTAACATGAACAATAGTCAATGGTTGAGTGTACTGACATGTCCAATAGTCAGTGGTTGAGTGTACTGACATGTCCAACAGTCAGTGGTTTTGTTACTGACATGTCCAATAGTCAATGGTTGAGTGTACTGACATGTCCAATAGTCAGTGGTTGAGTGTACTGACATGTCCAACAGTCAGTGGTTGAGTGTACTGACATGTCCAATAGTCAGTGGTTGAGTGTACTGACATGTCCAATAGTCAGTGGTTGAGTGTACTGACATGTCCAATAGTCAGTGGTTGAGTGTACTGACATGTCCAATAGTCAGTGGTTGAGTGTACTGACATGTCCAATAATCAATGGTTGAGGGTACTTACATGTCCAATAGTCAGTGGTTGAGTGTACTGACATGTCCAATAGTCAGAGGTTGAGTGTACTGACATGTCCAATAGTCAGTGGTTGAGTGTACTAACATGAACAATAGTCAATGGCTGAGTGTACTGACATGTCCAATAGTCAATGGTTGAGTGTACTGACATGTCCAATAGTCAGTGGTTGAGTGTACTGACATGTCCAATAGTCAATGGTTGAGTGTACTGACATGTCCAATAGTCAGTGGTTGAGTGTACTGACATGTCCAATAATCAGTGGTTGAGTGTACTGACATGTCCAATAATCAGAGGTTGAGTGTACTAACATGTCCAATAGTCA